GAGCTGCAGAACCGGCGCTTGAGGTGGGGGCAACGTGCGGAGCCCCCTGGCTGCCCCTACGCATAGGATCCGGAGGGGGGACAGGCCGCTGCTTCTGGGAGCTGCGCAGAGCGGGGCAAGCCTGCAACCCCACTCCCCAGCGGGAGCTCGAGGGCCGGATTAAAAGGTCTGACGCGCTGGATGCAGCCCCTGTGCCGTAGTTTGCCCACCCCGATCTAAACCTTTCTCTGTCTCTCTGGGGCTAATGCTGAGGTTCTTTTCTTGGGCTTAGAATGACAATCTAATGTAGTCAAATTCATGTGTAATGAACTAATGCAGCCCCAGATAATTGCACCCAACTCTTGTCCTCAATGAGAGTTGTGTGAAAGTATCTGAAGGCAACATTTGAACCATAGATTTGTATCTGTGTTATCTATTGAATTGTGACTTTAAGATCCTGCTTGCATTAGAGAAGAGTGAGGAAGGGCTATGCAGCAGTTGGGAGTCCTGGTTCAGTCAGAATTTCTCTGGTGTTCTGAGAATAGTGGAAACTTGCTATACTTTTTCTAGGCTGCAGGATGTGCTGCCCCTGCATCAGCTCAGCTGGTACACGACAGAGGAGTATAGAGTCATGGTACTGCCTCTGTCCAGCACTCTTGGAGCTACATCATCATTAGGCTAGACTGGAGCAGAACTTCTTCTCTTTGCTTTATAGCTGGCTGTTTACCGCCTACTCCCCTTAGTCCTGGACCCACACGAGGTCACTCAATTTTTTTCTGGCCCATAATGTCGTACAATCTAGAAATTGACTAAGTGATAGCTTGCTGAAGTGCTAATGGCACAGGACTGGATTATGGTATTACCACAAGCCCTGCATAATGAGGACTGCTTTCCCCTTGCTCCAGGAGGGAGATACGGGGAAGTAATCAGTGCCAATCCTTGACTTGGTGCCAGTGTAACCCATGCCTGGTTGGTGTGGCACTCTGTCCCCCTCCCGCAGCAGCTAGAGATGGATGAGCCTGCTATCGCCTTGGCTGAGAGACGTGTCTCTTTTAGGTCATGCAGTAGATGCTTGTGCATTAAGCTCCACTGGTCCAAGATTTGATCCCGGCCGACGCCGATCAGGGTCTTTTGGCGTTACAGTTGCTCTGTACTAGTTCACCTGTGCGGGTCAGCCCACTGTTGGAGAGAAGGAGGGTCCACCCACCTCCCACCCAAATGATTAGATGAGTAGTAGCCTGCAGAGGCTGCTCTGCTTCCACTCTGTGACCTGCAATGTGGACAGCCCATGCAGGGGAGCAAGGAGGAGCCTTATGCCCCTTGTTGCTTGGGTGGCCGGTACTAAAGGTCACAATTTGGCCCAGAATGCTTTTTCATTTATGAAGCAGCCACCTTCTGACCCAGAACTTGTATAGTCTTAGGAGTCAATGTACTTACATTTTCACCACTGCATTTCTTAAATGTACACATCATATCCATTTGAGAGAGCCTGTAAAACCCTACCTAATGTATTCACATGCCAAGTGAGTCCCTTGGGCTGGATTCTAACCTGTATGCATACAGGCAGGGAGTGCCACGTTGTTTGGAAATCCAGTATTCCTCGTACATGAGCGCAGCTTTGAATTTCTCAAAATGTGGGATGGTGAGTTCCTGCGCACCTGTGATTCACCTGCAGTGGATCTCCTGAGGGCACCTTCCATGCCATGTCACCACCGCCCCCTTCACTGGGACCCCACAGAATCCCCTAGTGTTGGATTAAAAAAATAAAAACTCAGAGATTGTAATGATACAAGAGCTGAAGGTAATCTCTCTCGTGTTCCTTCACTATCTTGAGACATATCCCAGATTCATTGTGAAACAGGAACAATACATGACAGTTCACATTGCAGTATTTGTGGTTATAAATGTCATACCTCAAGAACCTGTTACTAGGAAACCGGAGGTCAATGGAGCTACATTATGCATCAGAAATAAAAATGAAGATCTCCAGCACTTGTTTACTATTTTCTTAGTTTTATGCCAATATTACTCAATGTTTTGTTTCATAAATAACTATGGGTTGTATAATCTCCCTTTCTTTTCCAGTGATAGGAAACATATCGTTAATATGTGAAACTATGTATGTGATTGGTATATTCTATTGAATTTCTGCCTTGGGTTTCAATATTTTGGCTTTCTTTCTGACCTGCCTAGATTTATTTATTTTTGTTAGTCACAGGCGCCTGAGTTTTTTTGTCATAACATTCAATTTGATTTTGTAACTGACATAATTTCTACTTGATTAATTGTTGTAGCTGTACTGCAGGAACAGCACAGGCAATGATGCTTTATAATTGCTTACTTTGCCTTTGGTATATTACCAATGCTCATTTCATTATTTATAAATTAATTACAAGTGCATTCTTCAGGGGCAATAAAATATTCAGCAGATAGGGCTAGACGAGTAAGAGGTGGAGACACCCCCTGTCAATGGAGCACCTTCTTGCAGAACCAGAGCACATTTAGGGTCTAGTCCAAAACTCACCTCTTTGCTTTACCTTTTTCCATTGCACTCATTAGAGATTGTTTTTAAAAACAATCATTTTATCTGCTCTTGGGGCTGCACCAGAGAAGAATAAATACAAGACTAATGCAGTTCCTCAGTGTTTGTCCTGCTCTTGGAAAGAGAAAGAAGAGAAATTTCAGGTCTGTTGGTAAATATAAGGCCGCTGACCAGTTTCTCCAGGAAGCATTAATTCCACACAGGAGGATCTTGCAAGCCCTTCCCCTTAGGGCACAGTTTCCTAATTCAAACAAAAACCTCACAAAGTAACACAGCAAAACTATTCCCCTGGCCAACACTGGCTGCAGGGGCCCAGAGGCCTTTTATCTGCACCTCACTCTGCTCCAGGGTCAGAGTAAGTGTTAGCCTCCCTCCTACAAATCCCCTTTGAGTGAGCTCGCTCAGCTTTATTTTATAGGAATCAGCTGGGTCTGATAATCAAACAGGGCTGGCTGGCTGGCCCAGGCCCTCTGGCTCTTAAAGGGCCACCTTGTTACAGTAAACCAGTCATTAAAATTAACACAACTTTGTGAGGCACTTGGATATCATGTTGATGGGTGTAGTTAAAATAAACAGAGCTTATTAAAGCAGTAAAGATGTAACATTTAAAACCATGTTAGCTGTCTTTGGTATTTTATCTTTTCCAAAGATTTAGTCCGTTAGGAGAGAAATTTCAGGTAAATATAAGGCTGCTTTCCCCATTGCTGAATGTTATATACTGTGTGTTACAAAGTAGGACAGGAGTAACTTCTTTAAAGTTATCCTGTTTATGAAAAGTTGAAGTGAAAAACAATTGCTTTGACCTTGACAGTGAATGTGGAAGACCAGCTTTGTAGTGATTCAGAATGTAGCTAAGCAACAACTGTGTAGTATATTTGTATTGGGGTATTTTTAGAAGAATTCTTCAATAATGGAGATGCCTGGACTAGCAAATAGAGCTGAATAATACATTCTGAGAATATTCTCACCTTTGTGTGTGTGAAAAATTTGACTTGTAATGCACATTAACATTAGCCATAATTTATGCTTATGTCAGGAGAAAAATACTGTATGAGCATATCCTCTTAAAGCCTGAACAAATGATCATCTGTCATTGTCCCTGAAAGCTTAGGCTGCTTTAAACTTTGTTTCTCTGAAAATTGCCTGTGTAAAAATGGCACATGTTGTGGAAATCTAGTCTTTTTGTGTATTCAGAGTCATTTCAGCTTATTTTAATATTAAAAATTGCTTTTTAAATACTGTTAATAGCTCTGAACACCCAGCAAGGATAAGGCCTTCTCTACGCCAATTTAACTAAACTAGTTTAGAAACTGATTTATTTAAAGCAGTGCAAGTGCCTGGTGTGGATACTCTTATTTTGGTTTAAGATTGCTTTATATTGACGTAAGAAGTCAATTCCTTACAATTTAAGCTAATCCTTACTTCTAAACCTAAATAAACGCTGACACAAGGGGCTGCACTGATGTAGCTAAATCAGTTTTAAAACCGATTTAGTTAAATTTTCTCATGTAGACAAGGTCTTGGATTCTATTCCTTTAGGTGCACAATTAACATAATTGCTTACTAAATCTAATCAGTTATCCTGTGCAAACCCCATGACAGTAGTGGATTTATACAAGTGTCATTGAAGCATAGTTTGAAGACAGTGTGGTTGCATGGCAGTAAACTATTCTAACTGTACCTGCAGGATCCATATTACTTTTTTACAGTGCATGAGAGAGAGAATAAAAAAGCTAGTCTCATTTCTTTATCAAGCTGTAAAATGAAAAAATAAGTGAAAAATAGAAATAGTAAACTTAGTGAATTAGCTTTTAAATTCTTTAATACTGCAAGGTGCTGCTAATAATAAGTTAGGAAATATGTTGTCTAAAAATATTTGTACTCTAAGAGACTCCCTTTAAATTGGAAAAAACATGAGAAAATAACTATGTTTTGTTCCCTCCCCCACTGTTCTATTATTAACTGGATTCACATGTTTAGAATCGTGAGATTTTCCTTCTCTATTTTTTTGGCCAGGAGCATCCATCAATGCTATAGATCACTTGAACATCCAATCTTACAGAGACTGCAGGTAATTATTTATATAACTGCTTTTTTTGTTTGCTGTGTAGGTCAGGTTGGGTTTAGTTCAATCTTATGTACGGACACCTGTAATTTATGCAGGTACCAGTTCTGACCAATTAAACTGGATAATAACATTATATGCAGCTTTTATGGAAGTTGTTACTTATGGCTTAATAATCCTGGATATGCTGTGTAAAAACTCAAATTTACATCTGCATTAAAAAAAGATTTGTGATATGTTTTGCAAACGTGGTCTGTTGTGTGTGTGTTTTATATATAAATATATGTGTGTGTGTGTGTGTGTGTGTGCATTGCTTAGCACAGTGGGACCTCAGTCCATGATTTGGGATATGTAGGTACTACAGCAATACAAATAATATTTTTGATAGATAAAAGACTGATAAGGAGGAGATACCATCTGAACATGGTGGTAAGATCAGCTTATAATTTTTCACTTCACCAGACAATTTAAAGTTGTCTTTTATATAGAGATGTTTCATATCACATGTGCCTTCGGAGTTCTGTTTTTCAGTCATGATGGCAGTATTTGATTCTGTCATGGCTCAAACTCCTACTTTCAGCCCCTACACTAATCTCATTTGAGAGGAAAAGATCATGATGTGTGCATGGCCCAAAGTTCATTGAATTTTCTGTCCCTATTTGAAGAAAGCTGTCAATCTTTAAGGTGAAAAATCAGATCTATAAAAGAAAAAAAAATCAGGAACTGAAAGAGCGCTTTTAGCTTTCCACAAATAGTAGAACAGAACAGAAACCACATCACAGAAAACTACTAACTAGGGCAGGTCTCTCTTCACCAGACAGCCCAATAGATTGTCTCTAGACTCAGGCAGGCACGTACTTCCTGTAGCTAAAGTAGAGCTAATATCTTCATTTGGCCAAGATTTCTGTACTAGGCTAAAAAGAAAATGTGCTTTCCTTTAGTTACCCCTTTGGGTAATTAGCTTATTAATATGATTGTTTCTACTCTGTGGCCATTGAGTCACATTACTTTGGCCAGATCTTTTCTGTCCAGATGTAGAACTAGTGAGTTTTTCCTTTATTTAGTGTGATTAATAGAAACTGAAATGTATAGTTGAGGGAGATTTAATAGTGTGATACACATTGATTGTGCAAAATGGCAAAAGAATAAAGTGGGACAAGGCAGTGTAACTTATTGGATAAAACACTGTCTTTCAGTTCTGGGACCACAATCTAAGTGGGACGTATTTGCAGGTCTCAGTGCAGTTCACAACAGAAAAGAGATTACATCACCAAACTATCATACATCATTTAATGCAACTAAGAGTTTGTGGCCTCTGCATAGAAGAGCTGCTGGTATGTAGACTGAACTATACCTCACCTCTAGATAGTGGGATCCTGTCATGTCGGGGTTGAGGTCATGGGAAAGGCAGAATGAGGAAATTTTCCCTGCAGCTGCCTGTCTAGCTTGGGGTTTAAAAAAGGAATTTCCAGTTTCTATCAGCATCAATCTCCTAATGTTCAGACACAATTATTAACTGAAAATGTTACAGAAATATATTTTGCCAATGTGCAATATGTGTATACATTTTTAAATATGCATATAACCAAATAGCAAGGCCTGAAAGTTGCCCCTTATCCTTCTATTTGATTGTCTAATTAGGCTGTCTTAACAGGATCTCCAAAACAGAAGGGAAAGGAAGGGAGACATCTGGTAGCAATTTTCACATACTATACACAAGAGAACTCTTACAAAATGGGGTTTCACCCTTTAATTCAGCTTTTCCTTGATGGGATTCAGTTCCCCCTCCCTTCAAGACAAACTGTGCCTTTTTAGGATCTTGGCATAGTATTTCAAGTGTGCACTGAGCTGCCCTTTGTGAACCCATAGTCACTAAACAACTTAAGCTGGTATGATGGAAAACAATCTTCCTTTTTGTTAATTCAAGCAAGAGAGTCAGGGCGCTACAATATTTGACAGTAGATGTCTCTTCGTTCAGGAGAGTATTATGACTTTTTCCTAGATAAATGTGTTTAGCAGCAGGAACTGCATTTTTTGCATGGAATCAGGAAGCGTGATTCCCCCCCCCCCCCAATCTTGCCCAAATGAGATTTCACAGTTCAGAAGATAGCCACCTATTTCCCCTCCTCTCTAGCAATATACGGTGTATTAAAACAGCATTTTTTGTTTTAGTATCAATTTCATATTCAGTGAGCTGATGCTTTTTAATTCTTGCTGTATTACTGAGCTACCCAATATTAGGATAAAATTCTGTTGCTGGGACATATTTCACTACATGTGCTAAATCCTGAGATCCTTGCACAATTTTTACTGAGTCCTTACTCAGGCAAACTTCATTGAAGGCAGCTGGGATCGGAGTAAAGTTCTGCTGATCTAAATGACTGATAAATCTATTGCTGCTCATGCTGAAAACTGTAATAGTATATGTACTTTGGGGGTGATAGTGCATGTTCACATGTGCATGTTTTGGCATAAATTCATCCTCAAGATTAAAATGTTAGCTATATATAAGATTATAGAGAGAACGCTGGAAGAAGCTTCCTCTTTTACACCAAGACAGCTCCACCTCTGCTGATCTTAAAGGCTGATACAATTTTGGGATACAGAATCACTGTGTTGTGAGCAAAGAGATAGTAGTTCTTTGCTATATATAGCAACTGTGACACTGGGGGAGATGCAATCTCTCAAGTAGGCGTGTGTCAGGCTACTTCCTCTTAGAAACAGCACCTAACCCCCACCCAGAAACTCAGACAGCTAGCATGGACCATGAAGCATTGGTGTAACGAGCTTCCCGTGAGCTACGCTGGTTGTTTGCCACTCTGCAAGTATGAATGAAGTTCAGCATGTGAAGTTCACTTCTGACAGAGAAGATCTTAATCTGCTAGCCAGATGCAAATATAAGAGAGCCAGCCTGGTTGCTGCTGAAACCTGACCATTCTTCAATACCTGGGAATCTAATCAGGCTCCAAGCTGTGAACAACTGGTGGACAAACACTCTCAATCAGACAGGTAGTGGGAAGAGGCAGAGCCCCCCACACTGCTGTCTCAAAACAGCATGAGCGTCTGCACACACATGACGGTTTAGTGTTCAAAATTTAGAGTTTCTCTAGACATGAAGTTATTCAGGGATAGCTCTTCTGCTTTAAATTCACGCCCTGCCTTAATCTGGAATAACATGCAGGTATATTCATGTCCTTACCCCCTTTCTGAGTTTGGTTCTATCTTTAACATAGATAACGAAACACAAACCTCAGCATAAGCTTTCTCCTGAGCTTGGCTTGTTCTCATGGTTTCTCCCTGCAAGACCACCAGTCCCTGCCCTTAGGTACTTCACTTTCCTCAAAAAATCATTTTTATACCGTGGATTGGAGCTAATCAGCCCCACCATATCTGGCTTCCAGCATGAGTCGCAAAACACTCCTGGCTCTCCCTACAGGGGCCTACACCCTAACATCCTTCCACAGGTGTAGCCTCACCATATCCTCTGGTTGCTTCCTCTAACCCACCAGTATCCCCTCTGTTTTATTTGGATTGAACTCGCAGCCAGGTATGCCCCAGTCTTAACTAGACACTGAGAAAGTTGTTCAGCTGCAACTTGTATAATCAGAAGAGATCGTAAAAACATAAAGCTTATGTCATCATCAGGGGTGCTGGAACAATTTTTATAGTGGGGGTGCTGAGAGCCATTGAATCAAACTGTAAACCCAGTATATGATGGAAGCCACTTCAAGCCGGGGGCGAGGGTGCTGCAGCCCCCCCCCCCCCGCATCCCTAGTTCAAGCACCTGTTGTCATCATCAGTATACTGAAGGCAGTGCAGCCCATGCTTCCTCACTGACACTTCCACGTACATATTGAACAGGAGGGAGGACAAGATGGAGCTCTACTGAACCCCTCATGAGAGCACTGCGAGGGAAGAGGAGTAAGGGATCTGCCTGAGAGGAGAAAACAAAGCTGCATGAGTTGTGCAGCTCTGGCTCCAAGATCCACTCATGATCAGTGATTTTGAAGACAGCTCCTTGATCTAATGATAGTCTTCCTTCTTGCCTCCACCTCTTTCCCCTTCTCCTTTTAACTTCTGCGCTGTTTTGAGTTGCAGCAGTGGGAACACTAAGCTGAAGATGTGGGTTTTACTCTTTGCTCTGATGCTGAGAAATTCATGGTCACTCTTCTTTCCTCTGGTAATGAGGTCCACAGCTTGGGCCCCATTGTTGAGAAGGCCCTGCCTCCTGCTGTCATGAGTTTTACACTTGAGGTTGGCATTTTTATTGTTCCTGAGAAGTGCAATTGCCAGGGGAAAAGTTGTCATTGAGGAGAGGCAATTTCCATCCTATTGTTGGCACTTCCATGAAGAGGCTTAACACTGAGACTTTGAAATAGAGATGCTGTTATTTGGGGAGCCAGCACTGTGAACAGAGAAGTGGGGTGATGTGTTGCTGCAGAGGCTGGCTACTGCATTCTGGATTAGTAGATGCTTTTCTCATGTCAAAGTGCTTATACCCAGGTGTAATGAATGAGATGCTGTAGTTAAGCCTGGAGTTTGCGAAGACCAGGGATCCTAGTTTTCCGTGATAAACTCCCCAAAATTCTCTGAATAAAAAAACACCAAAATCTGTGTCTTCCTGTGATTAAAATGAAACACTGAACTTTCGTTTCCCTAGCCACAATATAGGTATTAGTTGAACACAATGTTTTATTGATATACAGTGGAACCCTGTTTATCCGATCTAATTGGGACTGGGGCCAGATCAGATAATCAAGACTGATTAAGACCTAAGACTGAAGTGTCAATTTCCCATATTCCTGTGTGTGTGCTGGTGGTTCGATTAATCCAGAGAGCCGGATAACGGAGGGTCGAATAAATAGAGTTCTACTGTATATGTTTTTATTTTTTCACAAAATATAAAAACTAAAGATTCTCTGTAAAAATGCAAATTCTGTGTTTTTCCGTGGCAAACAGATTTCTAGGGTCTCTGATGAAGACATAGATCACTGTGGCCAGGTCCATGTTTGATAAGGCAGAATGAATAACCTTTTGTGATTCAAAGAGAAATCTTTTCTTCCTTGGAGCAGTTAACTAAAGATCCACCCTTTCATTCCCAATTGCGTGCTATATATATAATATAGAAAATATTAAAGAAACAAATTACAACAAAATCTGAGGCCACATATATCATAATTTTATTTTAGTGTATCATAAAGTAGAGGGATACAAGTATTTCTGGGGTGGATTTGCAATCACAGAGCTGCTACGGTGCATGTCAGAAACACAACAATTGTGGTGACTGTGAAAATAGGCTTACATTGCAAGAATGCCTAAGGTGATTACCAGACTGCATGAATGATTAATTTACCCTGCTTTTGTTTCACCTTTGATCCCAGGTCTGTCTCAGGAAAAAAAAGGCAATTTTAGAATAAGCTTATAGCTTTAAAATAAAAACTAAGTCAATTGTAATAATAGTCATCTTTATTACACAGATGTGCATTGAAACAAATCCAAGAGTAGCAAAGTGAGAGACCATTTGCTACCACCTTCTTTGAAATGTGAATATAACATTAG